TTTTTTTTTTTTTTTTTTCCTTTAAGGAAACGTTTTTCTTCTTACTTCAGATGATTTCTTTTTCTAGTTTTTATTATTCTGAGTGCTTTTGTAAGACCTGAGTCAGTTCTCAGGCCAATCTTTGAAGGTCGATCATGATTTATTTGCTGAAGGTGACCTCTTCATAAGGTCAGTGAAGCCGCCAGTCATTGGAGTTGGCCTTCCTTGAGTGTTCTCCCTGTCTGAAGCTCAGATAAGCACTTCCATCCACGGTAGTTATCCTTGTGACAGGCTTCTGAGGTGAGTACATCTCTAGACTGGTGCCCTGTGAGCTGGACAGCAGGTGTTTTCTGCTGTGGTTGTACAGAGTTCTTAAATTTTTTATTTTAGTCATAAACATTTAAAAGTTGGGACATTTCACATAGAAATCTAATTCTTTTTCGGCTTCTCTTAAAAAGTCTTTAAGCTTTGGCAATGCTGAGCCCCCAACTGCCCCCTTTGAATACAATATGATTTCTTGAGGCTCTGACTGCCATCTTCCATCCAAGCCACTCGTCACATGCTGTCCTGCCTGCTTCCTGGAGGCATTTAGAGTTTTGATCTCTGCTTTGCTTATTGACTCACCTTTCCGTGGTGCTTTTCTGAAGTCTTTTAGGGACTTCAATTCCCACACAGCAAATATGACATTTGCTTCCCCCTAGACCTGCTCAGTCCTAGAGCCTAGACTGTGGAAGCGTCTCCTCTCCCGTCCAAGAAGGGGCTAATGTCTGTCATATAGTAGGTGCTCAATAAATATTTTCCGAACCGTTAAATAAATGTTGAGACTTCATTTGGTCCGGTTTAGGTGATCCCGTGGTAGGATCCAAACCGCTCGGCTTCCCCAGAGTCCTTGAAGTGGCCCCTTTTGTCTGGTAGAGAAACATTTGCCCAAGAGTCAAGACGTATCCACATTTTTGGGACTCAGTGCACTCTTGCAACTGCCACTGACATGGCCTCAGGAGTGAATTCCCTTACTCCGGATGCTTGTCATCCTCCTTGTTGATGGAGAAACACTCACAGAATGAATAGTTCATCTTACCACAGCCCCCTGTCACTTTCCAGTTTATAGCTCGCTGGCTTGAAAATAGTAATTTTTTTAAGTTTATTTATTTTGGAGAGAGAGAGAGAGAATGCATGTTTGTGCGAGAAGGGGAGGGTCAGAAAGAGAGGGAGAGAGGGGCGCCTGGGTGGCGCAGTCGGTTAAGCGGCCGACTTCAGCCAGGTCACGATCTCGCGGTCCGGGAGTTCGAGCCCCGCGTCGGGCTCTGGGCTGATGGCTCGGAGCCTGGAGCCTGTTTCCGATTCTGTGTCTCCCTCTCTCTCTGCCCCTCACCCGTTCATGCTCTGTCTCTCTCTATCCCAAAAATAAATAAACGTTGAAAAAAAAAATTAAAAAAAAAAATCATTTAAAAAAAAAAAAAAGAAAAAAAAAAAAGAAAGAGAGGGAGAGGGAATCCCAAGCAGGCTCCGCTCTGACAGCGGATAGCCCAGGGCGGGGCTCTATCTCACAAACTAAACTGCGAGATCATGACCTGAGCCGAAGTTAGACGCTTAGCCGACTGGGGCTTGAAAATACTCCTGACTTTTGCTACAACTGCGTACATCCCTCTTTACCGTGAAGATTAAGATGCCTGGAAATAATGACCAGAGACAAACCCCAGGGGTAACATGTTCTGTTCATCGGAGTGACAGTAGAATAGATCAGAGTCCTAAAACACATGTAACTCCAAAAGCAGGGTTGCAAATTCAAAATGCTGCGGAGGCAAGTGTAGATGAAATGCAGCCACATGAGAGCAGGCCCTGAAGGTGGGGAATACGAGTCCAGGGTTGCCCAATGATCGGCTTGTTTTCAAGAAAATCAGTTTTATGAGAACTCTACTCATTTTTAAATGTTAGAAACAAAGTTTTAAGGAAATTAAACCCCTGTGAGCCCACAGCATGCCTATAGGCTGGTACAGGGGCCAGTTGTGCCTGGTCCTGGATGAAAGGACGCGTCTCAGAGGACTCTGATGGCCGCAGGCCACGGGCATGGAAATGTTTCCTGGAATCTGACCCCAGAGCTGGCCCCACTCCTTTCCTCTGACCCATGTGCCCTGCTCAGAGGAGAGATGGGTTCTTCACCCTAGAAAGCGAAGCGCAGTCTCTGTCCTCCATTTTGGGAGCCTTAGTTCTCAGGTCCAAATGGAAAACAGAGACTAAGTGGTGGGGTATGCAGTCCGGGCCCCTGTCGATATAGCTGGGTCAGACCCTCTTACCCCTGCTCTCCCTGGCCTTGAGAGGGAGCTGGGGGAGAGCAGATCTAGAAAAATCAGATTGGTCCCACATCTTTTCAAGCTGTGGGGCATGGGGTGGGGGGTGGTGGAGAGGAGAGTTCCTGGGCCTATCTATTTCCTAAGTTTGCTCTGAGGGAGAGAGAACTCCGTGCCAGTCTTGGGGAGAGCCCAGACGACCTGACCTGCTCACCAGCCTGGGCGCCTTACGTGAAATCCAGGACCGTGAGAGACCATAAGACCTTCAGAGGCCCTGTGTGTTGTGAAGGACCATCGTGCCCCTCTACCAGAAAAGTGCCCTCACTCCTGTGAGGACAGCCGCAGTGCCTTCTTTGAAACGTCAAATATCTGGTCCTTCCACAGAATTTGTTTTCCCATCTCCGCATCCTGCTCTACTGGTAGCACAAGAACGTACCAGGTAAAGCGATCGTCAGCTGGCAGTGCAGATCTAGGACTCAGGTCCCTGCCTAGCGCAGGTGCAGCCCAGCTCCGGACCCCAGCCCCGGAACGCTCGAAGCTGGGAACCCTGTAGGGCTGCAGCTGCGTGGGGAACGGGATATGGGAGGGACTTCCTGTTGTCCCTAATCCCAGTCTCCACCCGGCTCCCTGGCCCGGTGTAGGCTGTGGAGTCTCCTTTCCCGGGGGAGGGGGCCCCCAGCGCCCGAGGTGCCCCCTCCGTCTCCACTTCGGTGAGAGGGGTGCTGGGGAGGGCGCCTGGATCCCGAGATCCACGCGGGTGGCCAGCTGGTGGGAGGGGACGGGGTCAAAGGTGGAAGGCTTCAGGCTGGTGGGGAGAGAAGGGGGCCCGGACCCAGGTTCGGGAAGCGGAAGGACGTGGGCCATCCAGGCCTGTGAACAGGATGGACTCTCGTCCCCGTCGGGTGGTTACCGCTGCAGGGAGGGCTGCTGAGACCGGGCAGCTCAATTTCTGGATCCCAGGCGGCGGAGTCAGGCTGAGCGCAGGCTGTGTGCGCCCTGCGTCTGGGAGACAGGGGGGCCCAGATTCCTCAGCTGAGCCGGCTGTGATGGGTGGGGTCACACCCAGCACCTGTTTTGTACGGTCTCTGCAGACCTTTCGGCTCCTGATGACAGGAGATCCAGATGCCAAGTCAGCTCTGGCTTTCCCTAACTGGTTGCTCTGAGATGCAGAGTTCTGGCTTCAGCGACAAAGGGGATGATACAAAACAGCTCCTGTCAAGTGAGGGACCAAACAACACCAGAGAGAATGAGGTCACCGGAGGGCATCTGGGGAGGCCTTATTTCTGATTGGGACCAAGCGTGGGGATTTCCAGGGTGCTTTGGAGGTGTCCAGGAGACGATGGCTGACTTACATTTCTGCTCTGGTAGGCTCCTGGCCAGAAGCTGGAGGGGGCTTGGCGAATAAGAAGGAGAAACGACGGAGCTGTGCTTTCTACCTCTGAGATAGAAATGTCTGCAGACGGCAGAGCCGCCCAGGCTACCCAGGACAAGGAGAGAGCCCGAGAGGTATGGACGGGGCGCTGGGCGAGGGATGCATGCCCTGGAAGGGATTGGAGCGGGAGGGGGTTTTCAGGGTAGGGTGTCTACGCCAGTGGAAGACTTAGACTCACTGGGGCGGATGGGGGTGATGGGAGGAGTTGGTGCTATGGCAAGAAAGTTCTTCCACTGGGAATTGACAGCCAGAGAGCTTCTCGGCTCTGCCTGCTGAGTTCAGGAGTCTGTCGGCCAAAGGCTGCATGAAATAGCAGGGAGCCTGCGTGGGGGTCCTACTGGTGAGGTTGTGCCCAGCGCACGTGGGGGAGCCCCGGTTTACCCTCCGCTCCCTCCTGCCTAGCACCCCATCTCCTCTCTCCCTGGGTCTGAGCACCTTGTCTCCTTCCTGTACCTGTTGCCCATGTGTGTAATTACACCCTGCGGGAGGACCTGGGCCCCTGAGCTTGGAATCAAAGGAATATGAGTCAGCTGCAGCCAGGTGTGTGACCTTGGGCAAGTCCCCTGGCTCCTGGGAACCAGGTGTGTCGTCCATAAAATGTATACCCTGTGCCTGCCTGCTGTTGCCACCTGTCTCATCCAGATCGTTATTGTAACATATGCAATAACAACACCCACAGCAACCAGAACCTAGATCAGAGAAACAGATCGCCTCAACGAGCAGGTGTAAGGACAAGCACAAATCAAGAGCAGATCTCCCTCAGCTCACCATGGGCTTACATCCTGATAAACCCGCTGTAAGCTGAAAATATTATTAAGTGGAAAATGCATTTAATACATGCTCTACTGAGCATCAGAGCCTAATCTCACCTACCTTAAACGTGCTCAGAACACTCAGAGCAGCCTACATTGGGTAAAACCACCTAACCCAAAGCCGATCTCGTAATTTAGGGCTGAGTATCTCACGTGATGTACTGAACACCGTGCCGAAGGAGGAAGACAGAATGGCCACCGGTTTGTGGTCATTTACGCTCGTGACCACGCGGCTGACCGGAAGCCATGTCTCCGGCCGCCTGGCGTCCTGAGCCAGGACCGTGGTACACATCGCTTAGCCCAGGGAAAGGGGCAAATTCAGACTTCGAAGTGTGGTTTCTACCCAATGTGTGCCGCTTCTGTACCATCATAAAGTCGAAAGCTCGTTAAACTGAGCCGTTGAGAGTCAGGGACCATCTGTGTTACGTCTCGCACTTTCGTACAGAAGGTACAAAGACGTGTCAACACTGTGTGCTTTCGCTTCCACGATGCCTTTGTAACACCCACTGGGCCTCGCACGCCCCTGACATTCTCTCCTGCTGGATTCTGTCAACTCGCACAGTACAGTTATAGTAATTATTTCTGGCACCGCTCTGTGTCTATCCAGAATGTTCCAGAGTAGGCAGCTCTTTCCCACAGGGGATCTGTGCGTGAGGCAGAGTAGCTGAGTTTTGGAGGCTGCCTGGCTCGTGTGGCTCCCAGGCCCTCCAACTCCTGGCCTGAGGGTCTTCCCTTTGGGGCTCTGATATATACAGACGTGGGGGCGGTGTGGAGAGAGAAGTCTGAGTTCTCAGCAGAAGCCTGGCCAGTCCCTGTGCTGTGGGTGATGATGAGGCCTCACCAGGAGCCCCCCAATGCAAAGGAAGTGACTTTCCCAAAGCTCTTGAGGTTTGTGGGAAGGCGGTGCCCACTCAGGGTTGAGCGGCGAGCGAGGGGCTGGTCTGGATCAAGCCCCGGTTGCCTGACCTTCCCACCCGAGGTTGATGTGAAGAAGGGACGAATTAGGAGGACCCTGGAGAACCCTGGACGAGTTGCGGTGGGTGGTGCTGCAGGGGTGAGCCGGGAGGAGGTCTCCTTCTGTCAGACGAAGGTGGGCACAGGCCTCGGCACAGTTAGAGGTACCCTTGGACTTGTTTCTCCAAACTAAAAAAACTCCAGCTTCCGTGACCGAATTGAGTCAGGCTGGAAATGGCCCAGGGCCACATGATACCTCCCTGTCATATTCAGGAAATGGTGGCCTTGGGGCTGACTTGAGAATCAGATACACCCGGAGTTCAAGTGCTGGCTGAGAATTCACAGGCTCTGCAATCTTGGGCCATGGTCGATCTCTGAGCCTGGGTGTGTTCGTTTCCTATGTCTGGACGGCATAAAACAACTAGAATTCGTTCTAAGGACACTGGTCGTTGGATCTAGGGCCCAGTCTAAATGCAGAATGATTTCATCTCAAGATCCTTTACTGATTACATCAGCAGAGACCTTTTTTTTTTCCAAATAAGGTCACATTGTGAGGTTCCAGGCAGACGTGAAATTTGGGGGACACCATTCAGCCCACCGCACTTGGTGTCCTCTAACATGAAAGAGGAACCGTCCACACTGCTGTGGGAGGTACGAGGCTGGAACGGGGAGGAGACACCTGCTCTGTGGGCACCTGGCCAGCCCACCCCTGGCCCGGCCTCGAGCCTCCCTTCCTTCCCGTGCTGTCCCGGCCTTGTGGGGGCGGACCAGGCACGTGCGCGGCCCCAGGGCCGGGAGAAGGAAGCAAGGCCACCAGTGAGTTGCATTCGGGTGTGTTTGGCCGCCTGGGCGTCGGCCGCTGCCAGGCCCCTCGGGTGTGGGGCTCGGCTGCGTCTCCCATTCTCTGCCCAGGTGCTGATGGGGGCTGTCATTCCTAGGTTCCAGGTCATGGGCATCCTCGTCAAGAAATGCTTTCTGAGTCAGAGGAGACGGTGCCTTTGGGAGCTGCTCGGGAGTCTCCCCACATCAAGACGGAGCCGGAAGAGCCACAGCCTGAGGGGGCATCGCAGGGGGCCGGGGCCCGAGGAGAGCAGGGCTGGGTGTCCCTAAGCCAGGGCTCTAAGGACAAAGCTCTTTTCCTGCCCGGAGGAGGTGAGGAAAGGGATGGAGAGGGGCGCGGAGAGGGGCCCCTTCTCGGTGGCAGCTGCGGGGAGAGGTGGAGTCTGGTGCAGAGGCGGGGAGGGCACGAGCTCTCCTGCCACAGAGAGGCCTGCACGTGTGCGCACCTGCCCCCGACACGCCTCTCCCGCACAGCCTCGGAGCCTCTGACCGCACAGAGGCTACTGACCCTCTTCCTGGGTCAGGTCGGGGTGCAGTTTGAGGCAGCGGGGGGTGTCCCTGGTAGGCGGGGTGAGGCGGCCGCCCTGAGCACCTCTGTCCTCTCTCAGCCCTCCCCTCCCCCCAGATCCCTGTGCTCTCTCGTGAGGGGAGGACCAGAGACCGGCAGATGGCTGCGGCGCTCCTCACCGCCTGGTCCCAGGTGAGTGTCCCCGTCCAAGTCCAGGGCTGGAGGAACAGCAGAGGGATGTGGAGGAACCACATCGTCCCCTGGATGCGAGCGCCAGCGGAGGGTGGGGGCTGCAGGGGAGTGTGCGTGGAGACCCCGAGCTTCGGCTGCGGCGCCCGAAAGGGACGCTTGTTTCTGTCTCCCGGGTTGTACACAGCCGCCTCGTTCTTGCCCCCGCGAAGCCACCCTCGGGCGGCCGTCCTGCTTCACCAGCAGACGCGAGAGCGGGGCTCACTCGGGGCAGTGGGTCGGGAGCCGGGTCGCCTTCCTCTTGGAGCCATGGTGCCCCTCCGGGGGGTCCTGGCGTGTCCTGGAGAGTGGGCGTTTTGTGTTGTTGCAGATGCCAGTGACCTTCGAGGACGTGGCCCTGTACCTCTCCCGGGAGGAGTGGGGGCGGCTAGACCACGCGCAGCAGAACTTCTACAGGGACGTCCTGCAGAAGAGGAACGGGCTGTCCTCGGGTAAGGGCCGGGTCGTGCCTGAGGTGGGGCCCTCCCACCCTTACCTCCTCCTCCCCTTCCAGGGCACGAAGTCCTTCTCGCCGCTCCTCTGGGCCGCGCCGTTCCACGGCACCTTCCTGGTGAAGGACGTGCGCTCCAGTTGTGTTGACGTGGTAGCCACGAGCCCTCGGGCCAGATGTGGCCGCTCAGCACGAGAAATGTGGCTGGAGCTACTTTTTATTTATTTATTTATTTATTTCACTTTAATCAGCGCAAACTTGAATTGAGGTAGCCCCATCTGGCTAGCGGCTCCGCCGGGCGGGGGGGGGGGGGGGGGGGGGGCGGGAGAAGGACTGACCTGGAGGTTCTGCTCCTGGCTCTTCGGAAGTGCTCGCTCTGCTCCAGCTTCCTGCCCCTCCGAGCCCCGTGTGAGAGGTGTCTGCGTGGACACCGGTGTCTGGGCTCCGCATCGGGAGCTGCTGGCCGGGGGGTGGGGCGAGTCACGGTCAGCTCCTCTCTCCAGGCCCCCAGACCCCTTGCTGTCTCACATCCACCCCGAGGGGCCTGTCCTCTTGGAGAGGACATTTTTCTCACGGTAAGTAAAGTCCCAGCACTTTTTTCAGACTCTGGTTTTCTTGGCAGAATTCTACGAGGTCGGATGGAAAACTCAGAGCACCCGTTCATTGACTGTCATTCATTCTTTCATTCATCCAGTCTGTCTGTCTGTCTGTCAGTACACATCAGTTGCACACTGGCTAGTCCAGTGGAGCTGGGGGCTTGGGAATCCCCCCTTGACTCTGATGGTGGGCCTCCGGGTCTGGGCAGCTCAGTCCTTTAATTATCTCAGGCTTGCTCACCACCCACTGTTAACCATGCCCGGGGCACAGACCGGCAGGTCCAGGCAAGTCCTGGGAGATCACAGGGAACCCAGCACCCATTTGCAGCCCATGGCAAGCCTAACGGATGCCCTACCCACTGGTTGGTCCAACGCATTCCTTCCCTGGTGCAGGGCTGGGGTCAGGGCGTGGAGGCTGGGCTCCTCCGCTCTCTTACTGACTTGACCAGAATCCCCAGGCTCATGCCCCAGGAGACTTGGCCAGTTCGCCTTTGGTCCCTGACTTCTGGGTGGTCACCACAGCCAGCCTCCTCGCCCAGGCCCTCCCACCTGGCTTCCTGTCCCCCACCGCCCCTCCCCCGGGAGCCCTTTCTGCTCACGGTCTGGGAAGGTGCAGGAGCGGGAAACATTGCCGGGCCGCTGCTGGGGGCCTGTGTGCCATAAGGGGGTCGTGGGCAGCTGGCCTCACGCACCCCCTCTCCCGTTACTCCTGGCACTCGTTCAGGGATACTAGATGGGGCCCAGCTCAGCCCTGAGGGGAATGTGTCTGGCAGTTACCCCAGAACCTGCTTCCTAGAGACGGGTGGACACCTGACCCCAAGTGATGTTTGAACTCGCTTAGTTTTACCCCACGTGTGCAGAGCTGTGTCCTTGGCAGGTGGGGGTGGGGAGGGGGTGTCCCCTGCTGTGCCGCCTGGTGACTGAGCGCAGCATCTCTTGTCTCTTTTTGGCCAGGGTTTCCCTTCAGCAGACCTTTCTGGGCCTCCCAAGGACAGGGCAAGGGTGAGGCCTCGGGCTCCTGCCGGCAGATGGGAGATGAGGAGAAGACAGGTGCGTGCAGGGGTGGCAGGTGGGCGGGGCGGTGGGGTCACTGCTGTCACTCCCAGGCGCCCCTCGTCAGCCTGGACTCTCCGTTTCCCCTGGGGTTCAGGCACGAGGCCCTTCCAGCGGAGGGCCTTCAGCTCCCCGTCTTCTCCAGGGGGTGGCTTTTACTTCCAGGATCCCTGCTCTTACCTCCATCTCCAGAGTCCCCCTGGGTCCCTCACCAAAGTCTCTCTCTTGCCGGAAACCCTCTTTCTCCAGGAGCCATTGAGGTGGGGAAGGAGGAGCCGGCCCCATCCCCGGCAGCCCTCCGGGACGCGAAGTCCTTCCGAAGCAGGGTGGGGAGAGCGCAGGCGAACGGCCTGCCGCGCGGGCAGCAGGTGGCCAGCGGCCAGAGCTCAGGGGCAGCCAGAGACGATGCGCAGCCGGGCCCCCCAGACGAGAGGCCGGCGAAACCGGCCCCGCCCGATGCCAGCCTGGCGAAAGCCCCGGAGGGCCGCCTCCCAGAGAAACCCAGAGAGGGGCGGACGGCCACCCCCGAGGGCAGCGAGGAGGGCCTGGCCCCCGACGGGGACGCGGGCAAGAAGACGTACACGTGCGAGCAGTGCGGCAAGGGCTTCAGCTGGCACTCGCACCTGGTGACACACCGGCGCACGCACACGGGCGAGAAGCCCTACGCCTGCACAGACTGCGGCAAGCGCTTCGGCCGCAGCTCGCACCTCATCCAGCACCAGATCATCCACACGGGCGAGAAGCCCTACACCTGCCCGTCCTGCTGGAAGAGCTTCAGCCACCACTCGACGCTCATCCAGCACCAGCGCATCCACACAGGCGAGAAGCCCTACGTGTGCGACCGCTGCGCCAAGCGCTTCACCCGCCGCTCGGACCTGGTCACCCACCAGGGCACCCACACGGGCGCCAAGCCCCACAAGTGCCCCATCTGCGGCAAGTGCTTCACGCAGAGCTCGGCCCTGGTCACCCACCAGCGCACGCACACCGGGGTCAAGCCCTACCCGTGCCCCGAGTGCGGCAAGTGCTTCAGCCAGCGCTCCAACCTCATCGCGCACAACCGCACGCACACGGGCGAGAAGCCCTACCACTGCCTCGACTGCGGCAAGAGCTTCAGCCACAGCTCGCACCTCACCGCCCACCAGCGCACCCACCGCGGCGTCCGGCCCTACTCCTGCCCGCTCTGTGGCAAGAGCTTCAGCCGCCGCTCCAACCTGCACCGGCACGAGAAGATCCACACCACGGGGCCCAAGGCCCTGGCCGTGCTGATGCTGGGGGCGGCGGGGGCCCTGGCGGCACCTCCGCCGGCTCCCACTTAGGAGGCGGGGTGGGGGGGGGTGGC